GGGAACCAGGTACTTTGCCCAAATTCACCTGCTCCCTTTACCCAGCCTCCAAGGACCCAAATGAAAACAGCAGCCACCTGCTGGCATTGGCCCCAGGACTGAGGATTCCAGCTTGCCCGGGAGGGCCAGGACATGGAGAACGACAAGTTTCACGGGATGGTTGAGTGGGAGGAGACCTCTGGAAACAATCTACTCCAATCTCCTGCTCAAGCAGGACACCAAGAAAACTGCACCCAGGACTGCGCCCAGGTGGGTTGTGAGTATCTCCAGTGAAGAAGAGCCTCTCTTGAGGCTCACTAAGGAGGCGAAGGGAAATCCGTGGGGCAGCAGCCCCGTGGCCGGTGCCACTCCACGTGCTGCCAGGAAGCTCCTGTGCTGCAGGACGCGGTGCTTCCAGCCGCGAGCAGACGGGCACGCGGCCTCCTGCGCTGCAAGGGCAGCTCCCCCACTCATGACTTAGCTCAGCTCCGCGGGAGGGGATGTCCCTGCTGCGGTGGCAGCCTTGGAGCGCTTGGTGCCCTTGGATCGTGTCTGCAGCTCATGTCTCTTTTCCAGCCTCCCAGGAGCTTTGCAGCAGGAGGACTCAAATCCGTCCTGAAAACAGCCACAGTAAAGGGGCCAAACCAGGGTGCAGAGGGGCCGTGGGCCCGGGCAGGGGCACCAGCGCTTGCGGGGGGCTGGGACGGCGAGGGGCTCAGAGCCGCTGCGCAGGGCAAAGCCGGCCAGCCTGCGGCCCCAGCACCGGAGCGTCCTCACCCCCACACCGAGAACCTGCGCAGGGCCTGGCTGAACCCTGGAGCAGGGGGGCTCCCACTAATTAGCCACTAATTGCTCCGAGAGGGAACTAGCAAAGCCCAACCTGTGCTGGGCTGTAGCAGAGTGAGCTGCCAGCCCTGGGACCCAGCAGGGCTCCGTGGCGAAAGGGATGAAGGCTCAGCTGGAAAGCGGAGCTGGAGAGGAGCCCAGCCCTGCGGGGGCACGAGGGTCCCTGCACATCGCGCCGCAGCCTCCCCATCGCCCTCAGGACCCCAGGGAGCTCCCGGCCCCCGGCAGCGAGCTGGCAAGGCTCCGAGCTGTGCTGCAGCCAGCAGCAAACCC